TCTGACTGAAAAGTATTAATACATAGATATTCTTTCCCCACGTTATGCTGACTCTCAGGCCTATCTTTCCTAGAAGACAGATGTTAGCGTTCTGGTCCAGGGCTTTTTCCGGGTCAGAGTATCTCCGGGACACAAGCACTGTGGCCTCCACCTCACCACTACCGGCCTTACTCTGAGGAGTTACAGGCAAGATGGCAACCAAGAAGCCCCGGCTGAGTGTGAGAAATATGCTGTGTTAGGGAAAGGAGTGTAAGGATCAGCAGCTGTGAGAATGTGATAATTACAACATTCACCCTCAGCAATCCCTCTGGAGTCCTAACACCTGGTTGGAGGGCAAAATTTGCAGTCAGAATTTGTGGTAGTGGTGAATATACATGATATATATATGTTTATATATATATATTTTTTATTTAAACCTTTTCTGCAGTAAGTATACTAAAATAACCCTTCAAGTTGCATTACATAATCGATGGACTATAACTCTTCCTTCCCAGGTGACATTGATTAAAGTGTTTTCAAATGTCAACAGAACATCATAAAGTATGAATCTTTAAAGTTCAGTGTTGAGAAAGTTCTCATTTTTTACTTTATTAGGAACTTGCAAAATTATCAGCAGTTGAACATAGCAGTAAGAAGCAAAAGCTTAAGTAATGTAATGTAAACCAGAAGTGAGAATATTTATGATGTGAGTAAAAAAAAAAAAAGGATATAGAAACCTAGAGAATCTATGACTCTATTAAATGTGAATCACATTTTATCACATCATTGCAGGGCTCTGGTGGCCATTAATATTATTAATAGCCACCTGGGAAAATAATACGATGTTTCTACTGCTATAATTAATCTACTACAATCTTGGATCAATTTTTACAGAAATTTTATATGACTATTAATTTATAAAATGGCAAAAGGAGGATACCATGTTATTTCCTTTTGGATGGAAGACTAGTAAGTGGCTTGGAAAGACCTCTGTCAATACTTAGTAGATATTAAAATAAACACAGAAATGCTTATAAATGATTATTCAGTGGAAGTATTAGTCCACAGATCACTAAATGTTAGCCTGAATATTTCTGAATGATCAACAGCTTCTCATTTCAATGATAAAATGAGAAATAATGGTAAACACATCATTAAACAAGTAAAATGTGTCAAAGTAGCACTTAATATTTGTTTTGAAAATGAAAGTAATTTACGGTGTTTGGATATGACTCAGTTCAACAGAAAAAAAATGTCATTATCCTATTATAAAAGAAATAGGAGGAACTGTAAATGATGCTCTTTTTTCCATAAGGAAATAAAAATTCTTTGCTCTTGTTACAGCACCTTGCACTCAAGGGATTTAATTCATCACTTTATGATCATGAACTCACTAACTCACCCACAGCATATCTGTGGGAAAATACACCTTATACAGAGGAATAGAACTGAGAATGATCACACAGTAAGCTGGTGGCAGAAAGGGAATAGAGCCACAAATTTCACACACACATTTTCTGGCAGGCAAGATAATGCCCCCAAAGATTGCCCACATCCTACATTCTGGGGAGAACCTGTGAAGATGTGAGATTGCATGACAAAGGAGAAATAAGGTTGCAGTTGGAATTAAGGCTGCTAATTAGTTGATCCTAAGACAGGGAAAGTAACCTGGATCATCCAGGTGGGCTGAATATAATCACAAGGGTCCTTAAAAGTAGATGAGGGAGGCAGACGAGAAGGCCAGGGTTGTTGACTTTGAGGTAGGAAAAAAAAACAGTAGCCTCTAAAGTGGAAAGCGTGAAAAAACAGATTCTCCTCTCAGAGCCTCCAAAAAGGAATGCAGCCCTGCCCACACCTTGATTTTAGCTCAGTGAGACCCAGATTGGATTTCTGACCTGCAACTGCAAGATAATAAGTTTGTAATATTTTAAGCCACCAAGTTTAAGGTAATTTGTTACAGCAGCAGCAGGAAACTTATATACAGCTGCTTAATCAATTAGGACCAATTAATGCAAATGCAATCACTGAAGACTATAAATAATCAATTTAAGCAACTGAAAAATAACATTTAACTTGGAACACAAGTCTATTTTTGAAGTAATAAAAGCAGCACACAGATTCCTTGGCTTAAAGAAATATGGGAAAGGAAATATGTAAGAAGAATGTTTTTTCACTTCCACTAGAATACCAGAAGAAAAATGGGATTAATAAAAAGAACATATTGATCTCAATGATGAGGTAAGAGGTTTTTAAATGCTAATTGGAAATACTCTTCTAGGAGTTCTGGAATCCTCATCCCTAGGGTTAAGATGCATAGTGACCTATCTATTTTATGTATCCCAAATGGCTTAGATATTTATTTGCCTGACAACAGAGCTTAGATTAATCAATCTTTCATGGCCTCCTCCAGCCTAAATATTCTATATAGACTTGCATCTATTCAATTCCATGCCACAAATATTTATTGCCTATCTCACTGTAAATTATTCTGATATGAATAGCCAAAGATTTAAACATAAACCTTGACTTTGAGTTTACAATATAATACTTATTTAATAACAAAGGCAAAGAACCATATTCAAGCTAGACAAGAAGAGTCATAAGGGACAGATGAGTGTCACATTGATAAAAACCCATCAAATAAAAACAATGCATTTTTATTAATCCTAAAACTATATCATTGGTCATTATTGGAGGTTATCAGGTTATCAACTTATATCCTTATATCCTGCCTTTCATAAATGTACTTTATATACAGGAAATTAAAAAGCAGATGAGAGAAAATTCTTCTTTATCATTGGCTAAAAAGCAGAAGAAATGATAGAATTAGAGAACTTCCATTTTATAACCCCTAAATAAAATAATGGATCTTGAAATGATCATCAACAGATGCTAAAAACATTTGGAAAAAATTTGATGGGAAATTTTATAACAGAGGGATTGGGCTGAAACCATACAAGCACACCAAGCAGTCTTAGATCACTAAGTGGGACAGATAGCCATTCCATTATGTACCTCTTTATGTGGGTCATTAGGAAATACATAGTACTACCTATAAAGTATTACATACCTCCCAAAAGCTGAATCCAAATATAGCACTGCTTCTAAATCTCATTATCTTTTCATAGGAAATTCAGGGGATAGAGGACTCAGCTCAAAAGATACAGAATGGAAGCAACTAGTTAAAGACAGAATAATGATCCAGTTTCTTTAGACATCAATGGCATTTACAAGGGGCAAAAGAAAGGATTGTCACAGTATAAAAGAGACTTGGGAGACATACTCGAATGTAACATATAGACCTTGTTTTGATTCTAATTCAAACAAACCAACTCTAAAAAAATGTAAATATGGATTAGGTATCAAATGATACTATGGAATTGTTGTAATGTGATAAAGGCATGGTGTTCTTAAAAAGACATTTATCTGTTAGAGATGCATACTAAAACATTTTCAGGTAAAAGGTGTGAAATCTGGTTATGCTTTAAAATACTCAAGCAAAAAATACAGTATGTATGAAAGAATACATAGATTAAGATTAGCAAAACAGTGACATATATATAAATTGTATGATGAGACATGAGAGTTCATTATAATATTCTTTCTCCTTGTACATTTGAAATTTTCTACAATAAAAAATATTAAAGGATGAACACAATAATAGGAAAATAAAAGTGTTCCTAATCCATTTAATTAACCTTCACCATTAAAAGAGTGCAAGGTTACAATATTTGTGCTAGAGATTTTCTTTAGCTTTCTATACATATTTATCATTAGTAATTTGACTTCTATCACTTTAAGATTGAATGCCTTTCACTTTATATGGAAAAAAATTCACAACTGACCAAATTCTCAATTTATATAACCAAAAAATGTATCATAAATAAAATATTACTTCCAAGGCTCAGTGAAAAAAGGGACAGTAGATATGTTTCTCTTTGTGTGGAGGTAAGCATACAGCATCCTGTCGCTTTTTATAATAATGAGTAAATATAATGGAGCAAATTTCAAATTCTTTATGATTTATGTGGTCAAGGTTAATGTTAATTACATTTGTTGAAAGTGCCTACTTCTCTGTTTTTTGGTAACAAGGAGATTTGCTTTAAAGTGATTGTCTTATGTAAAATCCAGTCAAGATATATAATTAACAATATTACTCTCTTGCCTGGTTTTAAAGTCCAACAGAGACTTCTCTGAGAAACAAAAAGCTGCAGGACAAAATAGATTCATCTTCAACATTCCCTGCATGTATGCACAAACACCATAACTGACATAAAGTGGGTTGAATTTACAGGATTAAACTTCTGAAAGTTCATAGAAAGGCTCTTAGCAATAATCCCACCAGTGAAACAAAACATAAATCTCACCTTAGACTATTCAGAAAGCCTTTGAAAGCACTCAAAGTAGATGATCTCTCCCCTTTTAAAGTATTCTTCTCTAAAAGAGTTTTATTTGCAAATAATTTTTTTTCTGGAGAAGACTTGAAGGTGACTTATATCCTCAAATTACATTTTAATATGATAAAAACATTTCCAAAGAAATATAAAATTTTATAATACATAGAAAAACGTCAATCTTTTTGTCTGAAATACTCTAAATTTTAAAAAATGTAATTTACATTCTTTTCTTTTTAAAGATAGCTTCTCATGAAAAGACCCCCATCCTTCTACCAGAAGGATGTAAAGACACAGCAGGAAGGAACATTAGTCCAGGTAAACACACTATGTTACAGAGGTTTAAGTCCATGCATTTCAGTTGATTTTTTCCTTATGCATTTTTAAGTTATGTGGTCAGGGATTGTAACTATAATGACAGCAAAGATGACTATTTCTGCATGCAATAAAATTTTTTAATGAAAATAATTGTGTTATGGGTCACAACAATTATGAAGAGGATTTGTAATTCTAGCATTCAGTTAACAATGTAAAAGAAATGGTTGTTGCCATCAAGATTTGTATGTCATGTTACACCCATTACCTCTCACCTCCCTTCTTTCTGTGCCTGATACCCAAACACCTTACCAACTACAGCCTCCGTGTATTTCCCATCTGCAGGAAGAGGGAAGTACTGGTTTGGTGATGTGTTGCTGCCATATCCCAGAAGAAAACCTTCAAGCTTTACGTTTGGGCTTGGACGCAGGAACTTCAAGAGGATGGAGTCACTTGTGGTATTGACGTGGACTTTTAGGCTTGGCCTTTTTCCTAGTGATGGGAACACAAAAATAGGTGATTGTTACTTCTCCTCTTTAGTATCCCATGCAAATTCCCAACAAGGATTAGTTGCTAGAGGCATCATTCTTGGAACAAATGTTATCAACTTTGTCACTCAGTATCACAGCACTCACATCCAAATGCCCAAAAGTCATTTTCTTGGACAGCAAAGAAAATGCACAAAGAAGCCTGGAATAAAAAGTAAAATCATAGGGGTTCAATACTTGGTAGTTTATTATCAAGCAGGTAGGTGGGATTTGGGCCATTTTGGCTATGCATAGTTGGTCAGAACCTTCACTTTATACACTGTGGGTATAGTGAAAGGACCTGGATTTTCTTATTGGCAAAATGGAATTACTACAGCTTGAACCCCCGAGCCTCTTCTATGCTTCTATTTGATAGTGTCAGAAGGGAGGGAAGAGAAAGTTTCTGGCTTAGGGGTAACTGAGATGGTAGAACAGGGAGTGCTGGAAGGCAGAGACGGGTTGAGGAGAAAGATGATTAGTTCCATTTGGATCTGCTGGGTCAGTGAGACAACTCCATGGAGACGCCCAACAGCGAGTCGAATGATCTAAGTGTCATACTCAGAACTGGAGTGCAGATCCATCCAGGTGCCATTTGCTTGTAAGTAATGACTGGGTGAACTGGCCCAGAGAGACTGAAGGCTGAAAAGAGAGCCCCTACTCAAGTTCAAAAGACTTTTTAACTACTAAGGGAACAGGACAAATAACCATGCTAACCAAAGGTCTTGACCAAGTAGTGAGGAAATACATTTTCTCTTGTCTTTGGAGCCAGAAGGAACTTGTTTCAAACCCCAATGCTGTGACTCATTTGTCATTTTGGCCCCTGGCAACTTCCTGAACATGCTTAAGACTTACCTTCTTGGTTTACAAATGGTGAACAACATCTGCCTTCTTGCTGGGTTGTTCAAAAATTTGGTTAGTGAAAATAGCACAGCCTTAAAGCTGACATGTAGTAATTTTCAACAAGGGCTTACTAATACAAATAATTCAAAATCCTTTAGCCATGATTCAAAAATCTGAAAAATGTTATATATATATATATTTTATATATATATATCTTATATATATATATATTCATTTCAAACTCATTTGGTAACAAACCATAATCAGAACCATTATGGGGCCACTTAGTCCTTCTTTAATCCCACTAGTGTGATTATTCACGTTTCATTGAAGAAAAGTGTTCAATTCAATGGTGCTGATTGAATTCAATGGTGCAGAATCCCACTGAAGAAGTTGTGTAATATGTGGTCTAAACATCCTAGCCTTTTCTAACCCACCCTCCACCAAATTTTTGAATTCCAAAATGTGTCAGGACTCAAGGAGTTCAGATAAGAGATTGTGAACCTGAATTATTTTCCTTATTCCCAAAGATTTGATATATTTAAGGTATTTTGCCTATTGACAAGCCTTCATTTACCAATGTAATAATTCACATTCTATTTCTTGTTAATCAAAAACTTATACTGTATAAATACCAGTCATCACATCTGTACAGCAGGGCTTTCCCAAGACCATCACACTGAATTTATTATACTCCAGCCAAATTCAGCCTCGACAGTCTCAACATAGCTACACAAAAAATATTCAATTAGGCCTCTGGAAAAAGAAAACAACGTTTCTTGGATACTAGGTTGTGGTAATTATTCATACCTCAGCAGCTAGGACTATAGTTTTCATGTATGTGCATAGTACTTTGTATTTTTCAAGAACTTGATGAAATTTTTATAAACTTCTTGAATCTCATATTTCCATACTTATACCTGTGGAAAAATTGAAACTCAGAGATATTGGGTGGCTTTTATAATATAAAGTCTGAGAAAAGGATCTTATGGCTCATCTAAAACAATTCTTCCAAATGAAGAAATTGAGGTATCCTGTACATTAAGTCATCTGTATGTGAAATGTAGGGTCAAAACTGGTTCTTGACATTCTTGCTCTCTTTTCATTGAGAGCTTTGTCATTACCCAACAGAGTAAGGAGTGACTAAGCCACAGGCCAGAATGCTCAAGTTGATGCCAACCACTGATGCTTTGTGCTAACTTCGCCAGATCTTGATAAGGTGATTTATACTTCATATAAAACACAGATTTTTTGCCAAGCCACTGTTTTCCCTTTTAAATAATGTGCTTAGATTTACTCCATCCTTCTCAATAGAATTGAACGAATGTAAGCGAAGCACATACTCTGCTACCTTAGGAAGTTATCAGGTCTCACAATGAATCAAACCACAGCCAGCTTGTTTCCAACACTAGTTTGGAAGAAGAGTTTAAGGAATCTTGATGTGTTCAGGCTGCACTCATATTTGACCAAGAGCCAAGAGCCACATCACTTTAGACCTTCACTCATGGACTCTGGTCTGACGTACCACATTATTCCTCCCCTGGGAAAATGGAAAGGACAGCTTTTATGAGAAAAAGGAAGGCTATGAAAAGAGCTATTGACCAACTGAAGTGGAAGTGATCACACCTCTTGTGCATAAGATTTTTCATGACTTCAGTCTTTCTCTTTTTTGGCAAACAATTTATGTCAACAAATACATCAACATCATATAACTTTTCCAATGTATTAGCATTTAGCTGTCCTACTTTCCCCAAAATTCCAATTCATAGTACTCTCTAGAGCTAACTTAAAATGTTCTGGAAAAAAAATACACATGGACAAATCTCACCTTAATATAGCATCAAACACTTAAAATTTAAGACCATCATCCCAGTTCTTTATATACAGCTAGCAACACAAACCTCTTTATTATTTTACCATGCATCACTTCTTCTCTTAATACTTTTCAACATATCTCATTTGGTTTTGGCCAGTATTATCTCAAATTCTGCAATACCTGTGAGGCCCTGGCCCATCACCTTTGCTCAGGTTGTCCACCTGGTGTGGATTCCCTCCATCTGTATTTTGCCTTCTCTACATCCTTTTACTCATCCAGTTACTACCCCATTGATCCTTTCAGTCATCGGCAAAAAGTTTATACTCTTATTTCTCCAATATGTTGGGGATATATCTATATGCATTCTACATTAACTTTTAATCTTTGATTAATAAATTTATTTTCAGTGAGTACGTCTTACAATGGTTTGGAACACTAGTCATGTAATGACAGCTATCTTTCAGCAGTTAGTATGAAGATCTCTGGTGAGTGACTTAAGGTAGAGATAATAAAAAATAATATTACACAACATGATACAAGCTTACCTAGTATGACATCTATAAACAAAATAGTAGATAAGTCACCCAGAAAACCCCAGGAGTATAGAGAAAGAAGGATACTGGAAGAATACTTTATTGCATCTTATATGAGAAACAAAGCGTATGTCAACAGGAGTGAAAGAAAATAAAAAATAAATGTGAATGTTTTAGGGAAAACACACCAGAAGGCCTTAGAAAAAAATATTGCATGTTGGCAAAATAGAATATTGGATCTATGACAGTAGTTTCTAATCTTCTCATTGCAACACCTTAAGGCATATCTTAATATTACAAAGGATGTTGTGAAATTCTAAAAAAAAAAAAAAATCTTTCAAAACAAAATTAGAACCAATTTACTTTTTACTTTTTAAAAGTAAATACTTTCCCTTCAGCATTAAAAAATAGTGGCAAGGTGGTAAGACTAGAAAATCAGACAAAAGTTAAAGCACTGTAAGTTTGAAGAACTCTCTAGATCAACCAGAAAAACTAGTTAATTTTGACCCCAATATTCTGAGTAGCTGTGGTCATTTTTATTCAAACTCTGCAAAGAAACATAGTCTGAACACATGGAACTTAGACCAGATAAGCTATCATGGACACCTCCGTGGAATCCATTTGGTAGGAGGAATTCTTTCATTTCTAATCTCTCATAAGGTTATCTTATACTTTCCAAAATATTTCAGAATGTAGTCTAAATTGTTCATATCAAGTTGGTCAAGATGATAAAAGTACTTCATTGGAGAAATTGCAAAATATTAAAGCTCTCTTCTAAAAATAAAGACTACATATTAGTGTAGCAACAATAATTAGCCTATATGGTTTCAATTTTTAAAAACACTAGTGAGGAAATTAGAAATATTCTAAATAGCAACTTAGGGCTTAAACCATATCAGGTACATTATTAATTTCTATAAGATACTAAGTAAAAGAATAGTTATGATACTGATGTCAATAAAATAATGACATTGTTTCAGGATTAAAAGCATAACTCTCTTCTTACCTATAACATGTTTCTCTTTTTGTTGCACACTTTCCACTTACAATGCTGAACTCTATACTTGCTCAGCCACCTATTTTGCTATACAAAATCAGATTTTCTAAGATATCAACATAATGAAATAAATCCTATCCATTGAGATATGGTATATGAAACATAGATTTGAAAAATTAATAAATGGGACTGGATCAAATTTGTAAAGTTTTGAATTTTAAAAGAACTAATGAGAAAAAGAAAAGGCAAGATATACATTGGGATAAAATATTTGCAACACCTATACCTATTAAAGGACTTGTATTTAGAATTTATAAAATAATTCTTTCTATTCAATAATAAGAAGGAATACTTAAGAAAAAATGGCAAAAGTTTCAAATAGATTCCTCAGTAAAGGAGATATATGATAGCCAAGAAGCACATGAAAAGATGCTCAACATCAGGGGTGGGGGTTGTCAGATGTTTTCTGTAAAGGGTCAGATTGTAAATATTTTAGGCTTGGTAGGACAGATGCTCTCTACCACAACTATTCAACTCTGCCATTGTAGCACAAAAGCAGCTGTAGATGTCATGCAACCAAATGGACTTGGCTGTGTCCCAATAAAACTATATATATAAAAATAGGTAGTGGGCTGGATTTGGCCTGTAGGTCATTGTTTTCCAACTCCTGGTCAACATCATTAGTCATCAGGGAAATGCAAATTAAAACCACAGTGAGATATCACATGCATAAGAATGGCTAAAATTTTAAAGACTGTCAAGAACAAGTGGAACTCTCC